CGGCGACGACCTAACGTAAAGACGATACTTAATACTACCGGTCCGGTCCGGCCGGCCACCTACCACTAGCACAGTAGACGAGACACTAATACTAGTATTCTCTCTATATATATATATATATATATATATATATATATATATTATTCATACATCTCAATGTCAAGATGATTACTTAGAGGGTTTTTCAACATTAAAACGAACCTTTTTCGATGGATTTTTTAGATGAATCTGTAATTCTACATTTTAAGGTTGCAACCTAATATAAACTTTTTTCCATAAAGAAATAATTAGATGAAGCCCAAATTACATGAATAACTCAAAGCATAAAGGTCTGAGAAAATCAGAAAACTAAGTCAACCACAGCATAAAGGAAACATGATAGATCTTAGAATAAAAAAGGGAATGAAAATCTATAAAAGCATAAAGAAATAGCAAGTACTTTTCACTGAATCTCTAGTAAAGCACACAAAAAGAAAAATTCCAAACCGAAGATTTTCTTTTACATAGAATGGACTCAAATAAAATCGAAAATGCGCACTACAATGTGGTTTTTCTTCATGAAAACAACACCAAAAATTAATGAAAAGTAATATGAGAATTTAGATAGAAGGATTCATCTAAAATGCACTCAAAAAGGTAAAAACCATAGGGAATAAAATAAATACATATGAATATACTCTTGACAAAATGAATACAAAAAAAGAAAATAAATATACACAAAAAGCAGCTTCTTCTCCGGAGCCCTCCTAAAAAATAGGGAAATATTGATGCCCTAAATATCTAACCTCCCTTACCCTCTTCTCTCTCTTTCATCCCTTTTCTTCATCCCCTTCTTTTGGAGCTTTCATCAAATCAAAGGTTTTTTTTCTTGAAATTGAGAAGAATTGTTTTTGTTATCCATGCGCATCTTAGAGTGGTAGTTTCATCACTTAATTGGAGAATCATAATCAAAAGGTATGCATAACTTATTTTTTATTATATAAGATTTCTTTTTTTGATAGGATTTTTATTTAATTTACATTTTCTTTAAATTAATTGGTTGATTAGTATAATGAATTGGTTATGCATTAGTACTATGGTATTTTGTAATGCATTACTTTTGTAATTTCTTTTAACATTTTATTGGTGGAAGATGGTTTATTTGTGTATGAATAAGTTTTTTCAATCTAAAATTTGATATAGTTTCTCTCTTTAAAGTTTTAAGATATTTTATGTCTCTCAAATTTAAAATTTGAGATAGTTGCTTTCTCTAAAATTTTCAAGTAGTTTCCTTCTCTAAAATTCTAATATACTCTCTCTCTAAAACTTAAAATTTGTGATAGATTCTCTATCTAAAAATTATTAAATAGTTTCTCTCTCAAAAAATTTTAGGTACTTTCTCTATCTAAATTTTGATCTAGATTATCTCTCTAAAGTTTTAAGATATTTTCTCTCTCTAAAACTCAAAATTTGAGATAGATTCTCTATCTAATTTTTTTTACATAGTTTCTCTCTCTAAAAATTTTAACTACTTTACCTAAAATTTGATATAGTTTATCTAAGTAAAATTTTAAGATATTTTCTCTCTCTAAAACTAAAAAATTGAGATAGTTTCTCTCTCTAACTATTTTCAAGTAGATTTTCTATCTAAAATTTGATGTAATTTCTAAGCTCTAAAATTTTAATATGCTATCTCTCTCAAATTTAAAATTTGAGATGATTTCTCTCTTTAAATGTTTTGAGATACTTCTTTCTAATAAATTTTAAGTAGTTCCTCTCTCTAAAATTTAGTGTATAGTTTTTCTATCTAAAATTTTAAGATACTTTTTCTCTCTAAAACTTAAGATTTGAGATAGTTTCTCTCCCTCAAATTTTAATTTGGTATCTCTAAAATTTTAAATTTGAGATAATTTCTCACTCATAAAAGTTTAAGATAATTTAAAAAATTCTTATAATTTCTCACTCTAAAAACATTTTTATATTTTCTCTCTCTCTAAAAAATTTTGTATGCATTCTCTCTCTAAATTTTGATATAGTTGATCTATCTAAAATTTTAATGTGTTTTCTCTCCCTAAATATAGTTTTCCTCTCTAAAATTTTAATATTTATTTTGTTCTTCACTAGCAAAATGGGTTATTTCCGTGAAACGTCAATTCTACCTATTTTGGTGGAATTGAGATTTTCAAAATTTAGGCTTAAAATGAGCATTCATGAATCCCATGAAAATTTTAAGTCCAACAAAAATGTCAATTCCAAGTGAACTAAACACGACTAGCCAAACTTCTCCAAAAGCAGTAATTCTTAGAAATCTTAATCCAAAAAACCAAACGGCCCCTTACAAATTTAAAAAGGAGTTGTCTCATATTATATATGGGGTTTATTTTAGAGATCACAAGTTATTCTTAATTATCCGATCTTAAATGGACAGTTGTGGATCTCTCAAATTACATATTAGTCATATGTGTGGAATAACAAAGTAATTTCCCCATTTTTTTGTAGTGTACAAATGAGTACGGTCATATTGGGGTTGGCTCAAACCTGTAGGTTTTAGGTGTGTCCAGCAATATATATCTTGCGCACGGGGGTCAGAACTAATTTTTCGCGAGTCCATCGACTACACCACCACGATGAAAATGAATTTTGAGCCCTAAAATGTTATTAGGTTATACTTCTTCCTATTTTATAATTCATTTTAGGAAAGAGTTATATAAGGTTGCCACCCTATATTATAAAAGTACGGTGCGCCTCAAAAATTGAGTAGAAAAAACAATTCAATTAATCATCTAGACCTCGATATGTAAATATATAAAAAATATAAAAAAATATTCAAGTCTCTAAAAAACTATATCGTCTAACAAATTATCTAGAACGTTATTTTCAAGATTTTCAAGTGTTTATAGATATATTTGATCTGCACCATTCATAATTTTGAAGCCAACATAGCGTTTCTGACACCACAACTACATCTTCTAACAAAATTTAGAAGTGTGCCTTACTTGTAGAGAATAAGATGGGAAACTTATATACAAACATCACCATTCAATTTAATCTTCAAAGATCATCAGCCTGTACTGTATTGGTTATGGAGTTCTGTTGAAAATTCGAATACCTGAAACCCCAATTTAACCGATCACCGAATATCACACACTCAATACCAAATATGTAAAATCAATGATTCAATAATAAGTTCAAGGATCATGTACAACAATTTAAAAAATTAAATTAGAGATAAAAAACATAGTCATGAGAGAAAATTAGAGAGACAAACCACAACACCAATTTAACATGGTTCACCCCGTAGGGCTACGTCTACGGGCAGGCCGGTAAGTATTCCACTATCAAAAGAGAAATTTATAGAGGATACAATATTACTTCAAAAAGAGAAAAATGGAGGAGAAAATTGATGAAAAAATATCACCAAGAATACCTTCCTTGTGATCACTCAAAAACACGATTTACTCCGCTTCACTTCGAATGACCCAAGAACATGAGCAACACAAGCTCATACCATTTCTCCCAAAAATAGGATAAGAAAATCCTTTTTCACCTTCTTCCCTTTCTCAACACAACCCAAGAAGCCCTAGCCCCTTTTCTAGAGAGAGAGAGAGGAGTTTAAAACCAAGAAGAATCAAGTTACTCAAAAAATCCATTTATTTTGGCTTTTATACAAGCCACCTAATTGTATTGACAAAAAAGCCCTCAAACAAATGGTAAAAGATAAAAGCATCCAAAAGAGTGATTTTTCTATCACCATTCAACAATCTCTACTTTGATAATAAATCACATACTTGCCTTGCTGATAATCCATTTTTTACTTCTTCATGAAGCCTAGGAGATTAAGCTACATTCCAACTTCTCTACTGGAACCGTCTTCGTGTGCATATCTGTCACATTTTCCTTGGTTCCAACTAAACCATCTTCAACAACTTGTTAAATATAATGGTATCGAACTAGTATGTGCTTCATCCTCTTGTGATAAACGAGATTCTTAGCCATATTAATGGCACTCATATTATCACAAAGTATTTCCATGGGCTTAGAATGGATATACAATTCTCCCATAAGGCCTTGAAGTCAAACAACTTATTTGCTTGCTTCGGTTGCCGCCATGTATTCCGCCTCGGTGGTGGACAATGCCACCGTTGATTGAAGCTTAGACATCCAACTTACGGGTTCATTTCCAAACTTGAAAACATAGTCGGTAGTTGATCTTTCTTTATCAAGATCACCTGCATAAAATCCAAAGAAACAAAGCTGTAGAGGCAAATGACTCGAAGAAAAGGCATCACCTCTCTTTTATACATCAAAATTTTTCCACATTCATGTGACTTTTGTCATTGGTGTTCACACCTCTAAGGCAAACAAAAAATAGTTGCAAAGGCTCAGCACTTAGGAGGTGCAGCTCTTTGGTGGAGTAAAGGATGACATTCAGTGGATCAAAGGTGAGCTCGAAAGCATGAAATCCTTCCTGAACAATGCTGATAAAGTTAGAGAGAGGGACTTAGCGGTAGATGATTGGGTTGCTCGACTGCGAGATGTTGTCTATGATGCCAAGGATGTTCTCGACAAATTCATCCTCCACATTAGACGTTTTATGGGCCATCTGTTTACATCCGGCGAAAAATTCCAACTAAGATAAAGAGTATCAGAGCGCGAGTATATGATATTGCAAATAGAAGGGAGAAACTACAAATACAAGAAGAAGCGGGCTCTTCAAGTGCCATGGCCACAACAAGAGCCTATTTAAAAGCTATTTCTTCTTCTGTTGAAGATGTTGGAGCTGATCAGAATGTGGAGTTGGTAGAAGAATGGCTAGAACCCAGTGACCCACATCTCAAGGTAATCTCCATTTTAGGCATGGGTGGGCTAGGAAAACCTACTCTTGCTAAAAGAATTTATAATGGTGACACTGTAAAAAAAACACTTTGATTGTCATGCTTGGGTTACCGTCTCTTAATCACTCACGGTAAAAAAATTCTTTTTAACTGCCCTAGAATGCTTCTTCAAGGATAGTTATAAGGAGATTTCAAAGGGCGTAGAGGGCATGGCAGAGAGAGAACTGCAACAAAAGCTTCACACGTATTTACATGATAAAAAGTATATTGTAGTATTAGATGATGTGTGGAGTGAAGACGTGCTGAGAGTGGTTCATGCTTCGTTTCCAAATTTCGAGAATGGAAGCCGTTTTATCATAAAAACACGCCGGGGAGGTGTCGCCTCACCAATGTATGTAAGGAGTGAAGTCTATAAGCTCAAATGACTATCAACAGATGGTGCCTGGTCCCTCTTTTGCAAGAAGGCATTTTGGTTGGAAGATGGGCATACTTGCCCTATGGAGTTAGAGGAGCAAGGGAGACTCATTATTCAGGAATGCGATGGTCTTCCCTTTACGATTGTTGTTGTAGGTGGTATGATGTCTCAAAGAGCCCGTACAATACCCGATTGGTTTGATGCGAGGCGAGCCTTTCATGGGAATTGAGCGATTATGAGGCTAGAAGCGGCCTTTTGACTGAGTTATAAAGATTTGCTGCCCCTCTTAAAGTATTGTTTCTTGTATTGCTGCTTGTTTCTAGAAGACTTTGAGATACGCCATTCAAAACTGATTAGGTTGTGGGTTGTTGAGGGTTTCATTGAAGGAAGGACAGATATGACACTAATGGAAGTAGCCAATAATTACTTCAAAGAGTTGGTAGCTCGAAATTTGATTCATGTGACACGAACTGGTTATACTGGGCAATTCAAAGCTTGCAGGGTGCATGATGTGGTGCGAAAGCGTGGTCTTTCTTTCTGTTAAAAAGAGACCTTTGGAGCATTTGGGGTTTGAGGGTTCCATATGGGATGGGGAATTTAGCAAACCTACAAACATTAGGATAATTCAAATATTTTGAGTGAGTTGGGGAACTTGAGAAATCTTAGAAAATTGAAAATTCAGTTGGAGAGGAGTGAGGTCTCCCTCCCCTCAAGTGAAACACCTCTGCACACCCACCCAAACCACTCTGCAAAGAGTAAGTATCATTGGGCCTCTCCGAATTGCGTTGCATCTCTACAGTGTCTCAGTGACTTAGGGTTATACCACTCCAAATTGCACAAAGATCCATTTGTTGCCCTCCAAAGGTTGCCCAATATGATGTTTCTCTGTACGTAATGCGCGCAATAGGCTTCCCGCCTCGATCATTTACAAGAATTGGAAGAGTGGAAGAGGAGGGAGCCATGCTTCCAAACACTACATCTCAAATTGCAACAAATTGAAAGGGCTGCCTCAAGGCTTACAGCACCTCACTGCCCTTCAATTATTTTGAGATGCCTCCCGTGTTCATGAAGTGACTAGATAGGGTCGACGGCGAAGACCGATTCAAAGTGCAGCACATCCCCGATACTTGAAGCTATTTCAAGATTGAAGGATTTTTCTAATTAAAATTCAGAATGTATATCATCATATGAATTTTAATTTTTTTTTTTACAAATCTAATTAAGATAAAATTTAGGGTGTATATACCTAACACTATTGCACACCATATAAAAATATAAAAAAAATATTTTCAATAATTTAAAATAAAAAAATTACCCCCGTAATTTTTCAGGGGTATTTCGGTTATTTTATATTTTGAGAAATATTTTTTATATATTTTTTAATTGTGTGCCCTATTTTTTAGTACACACGTCTAAAATTTAATTAAGATCCGATTTCTAAAAAATATTAAAATTCATATAGTGATATGTATTCTGAACTACATTATGAAGATTTGACGGTTCAAATTTCACTTATATT